GTTGACTATCAATGTTGGCAACGAGGTCTTCGCTCCTATCTCGGCCCCATCTGGACCGTCATTTGTCGTTGGCGACCAATCTCTCATCCCAGGTGGCCCGGCAATCACCGTCTCGGGGACTACGTTATCGCTCGCGCCTTTTGCCTCATTTATCATTGTCGATGGAACTACCTCCTCGCTCGTCACTCCTAGTCTGCAGTTCGGCAACCCTCCCGTGATTACTATTGGCGGCGATGTCATCAGCGCTCTTCCAGAGCCTTCAGGGCCTGTTTTCGTGGTAGATGGTCAAACACTCTTTCCCGGTGGTTCGGAAATCACCGTTTCTGGTACCACATTGTCTCTCGCTCAATCGGCATCCCTGGTCGTGATCAACGGCGTTACCTCCGTTTTGGCTACCCCAGCTGCCCCACTGATTACTGCGCCTCCCTTAACTATCGGGCATGCGACTTTTAAACCGCTTCCAGGGACTGGTACTGCATATCTAATTGGTTCGATATTGCTCACTGCAGGTGGGTCTATCGTCGTTTCGGGTACCACCATTTCCCTCGCACACGGAGCTACTGCTCTGGCCATCAACGGAAAGACCAGCTTTATCTCGCCCGGGATCCAGCCGATTATCACCAACCCGCCATTACTTACTATCGGTTCGCAGACGTACACAGCACGATCTGGCAGTGGAACAACATTCATCATTGGCGATCAGACATTGACGCCAGGCGGCACAATTACTATCGACGGAACCACCATCAGTCTTGCGCTGGGAGCTACAGAATTGATTTACGGAAGTTCAGGTCGCACCACAAAAAGTGCTTTATTTCCCGCTACAACAACACGGCTCCAAAGCGTCACTAGCAGTGCGGCTGCGAGTGTAGGGGGCAGTAGGCCCAACGGAGAGGCTATAGCGACTGGCAAAAAGGAGGGCACAGCATCGCACTCAACGTACGGGAGGTCCATGGTGTCTGCAGTCGTCGTGGTCCTTTATTCATATTTTGCTTGAGACAGCACAGCAAGTTCTTTGGTCCTTGGCATGGATTCGCGGTCTACTAATGAGTATAATGAGCATTGAAAGGGCGTTCCTGGGTTGTTGCTAGCAAGAGATACCACGTGTACAACAAGTAATTATCGGCGTTTAATCCATCCTGGGCGGCAGACATACGATGGCGTCGCGACGATGTAAACAACAATACATCTCCTCTGGTGGCGAGTGAACTAAAAGTATGAGCGGGCGCATCGGTTTAGACGTGGCGCACCCCCGTAACGGCCGATTCCCAGAAGTTGGGATAGTTGGTAGACAATGAGAACTATTGAGCATATTTTGATCGTTCGACGGGTACTTAAAGCTAGAAAGACTCCCGCATTTCGTTGGGGCCAGGTAACCACAGCGGGCGCGATAATCCTTCATCAACGCCACTACACAGCGTCGTGCATCGGCGCAACGCCCTCCCCACACCAACAGTAAAAACAACGTACAGCAGGAATAGGCTTCGCGTCATGTAAGCGCCGCGTTCTTCTTCAACCGTCCAGTGACGGTTTCTTTGACAGCATTGCGAGGCACGGGCTGCGGCATTTTGACTGTTCATGCGAAGAGATTTTATAACCGGTGGTTCTTCTCATGTTGAGCACCGCCATGAAAAGAGAGCGTCACGACTCAAGCGGGAAACGGTGTTGTTCCATGAAAGCCTCGGAAGTGTCGAAACATCACCATTGTCTTGGCAGGCACTGGCGCGCAATCTCCCCCACTAAAGGATTTCGTTTCATGTCGTCTCGCGAACGAACACACCCTTCGCGGAACAATTCGCCCCACCACCGAGGTTGCGTCCCCAAGCACTGCAGGTTCTAGAAGATTGGATCATCAAATATGAGAGTCATTGTAGGCCGGTAGCACGAAGGGTGAAGAGTAGGGAGATTGCCTATTGCAGCCTTGCTGTTGTGAGGAACCATGCAGCAACGACCAACAATCAGTTCCCGAAAGAACGTTATGACATAAGCAAACAATCAACTGCGAACATGTTGATGCAGTGTGCAGCGGGTGGTATGGACTGAACAACATGTTGGCGCTTCACCGCATGACGTTTCGTTAAACGCCGCGGCACGATGGCAGACTTCAACCGCTCAAGCTTTTCCGACATGGTTTCACGTTTCCCATGAGGCTCTCCCGTCATTCGACGCTCAGGATGTCGTACAGGCCACTTCCAGGCACATGCATGGAGGCGACGCCTTCAAATCTCGCCCCGACAATACCTCATCACATATTATGGGTCGTGGGAGCGGACAAAGCCTCGATTCAACGTTCTGCGGCAGCTAAACGAAGCCACGCTTCCGCTTATGGTGCTAGTGCGGCGCGGAATAGATTGACAGGTGCTTGGCATCAATCCACAGACCCGGGTTTCATGCTGTTGGCGCTGTCAGGACTCTGTCAGTAAGGGCACTAGTCTTGTCATGGCGTGAACGTGCCGTGTAGGCGGAAGGAGTATAAGAGAAACAGAAGCCATCGTCGTTGGAAGGGCATCAAGCTTGACGCTGACACTCACTTTCACACGCTCTTTAGCATTACACTCACTTTCAATCCATTCGTCTATCATTCATTCGTTCTTATTCTATCTTTGAAGATACGCTCAACTTTTGCAATCCAACCAACCAACCAACACAACAACCGCAAACATGTTCACCAAGACCGCTATCATCCTGGCTGCTGCCAACCTCGCTGCTGCGCACACCACCTTCCAGAGCTTCGTCATTGACGGCAAGGACCAGGGTCAGCACTTCGCCGTCCAGACTCCTTCCAACGGCAACAACCCCATCCTCGATGTCACCTCCACTGCCATGATCTGCAACGGTGGCAAGGCTACCGCTGACCAGGTCGAGGTTGCTGCTGGCTCCAAGATCGGCATGCAATGGCACCACAACGACCCCGTTACCACTGGTGACGGTGACGAGCCCATTGCTGCCTCGCACAAGGGTCCCGTCATGGTCTACATCGCCAAGGCCGACACCAACGGTGAGGGCGCTGTCTGGACCAAGATCTGGGAGGACGGTCTTTCCGGTGGCAAGTGGGGTGTTGACAACTTCATTGCCAACAAGGGTCTCGTCGAGGTCACCCTTCCCGACCTTGAGGCTGGTGACTACCTCATCCGCCCCGAGATGATCGGTCTCCACGAGGCCAGCGCTGAGGCCAAGGCTCAGTTCTACAACGGCTGCGGTCAGATCAAGGTCACCGGCAGCGGCTCTGCCTCCCTCCCCGCCACCGGTGTCGACATGACCAAGGCTTACAAGGCCACCGACCCCGGTGTCTTGTTCAACATCTACGGTGGTGCTACCGAGTACACTGTCCCCGGCCCCAAGGTCTGGGACGGTGCCTCCACCGGTGGAAGCGCTCCTTCCACTCCCTCCAAGCCCGCTGCTTCTGCTACTCCTTCCCCAGCCTCCAGCGCCGCTCCTTCCGCCACTCCCTCTCCCGTTGAGGAGGCCGAGCCCGCCACCCCTTCTGCCACCAAGCCCGCTGCCACTCCTGCTGCTCCCTCCTCTGGCAGCGAGTCTGGCTCTGCTCTCCCCGAGACCTTCACCATCGAGCAGTTCATCCAGTGGCTCAAGACCACCACTGGCTCCTCTGCCTCCAAGGCTCGCCGCCACGCCCGCGCTTTCCACTTGTAAGCGCCTTCTATAACGGTCGCAAGACGATCTTTCTTGCATGAACTGGTGTTCATGGTTGGACCTTTTTGAGACGTATCTTCTTTGATGGGAAACCCCCATACCTTTCTTCTAAGTAGACCGCGAGATCGGCTATCACTTCTTTTGATGTAAATATAGCATTCACGACGAATGGAGTTCGAAAAGTCATTGTAACCTTCCCGTCTACTTGACCTGTGCCTATGCTACCTGTGATCCAATGACTTGACTCCGCACTTCTCATAACATGTTGACATAACTGTCGTTTCCACTTCCCGCAGTCCCTTAGTATTAGCTCTGTTTCCGGAGCTTCTTTCATCTCCTTAGCTGCTTGGTTTAGGTTGCACCTGACTCCTCGAAAAAGTACAATTCATCCTCGTATTGCTCCAAGATCAGATAGACATCCAGCCGTCCGATCTCCTGGGCACATCGTTCTCCTCAAACCATGCTACGTCACAGGCTTTCCGTTGTGCCATCTGTGTCGAGTAGACCGAGCATGCTTCGCACACCGAATCTTCCTCCCATCTAAGCTAGATGGACTCTCAACCTGTGGACAGAGTTCAAAGTTTTACGCTGATGGCTTTGGGCTGTGCCCAGAAACCCAAACGTAAAGGCCCCACTAAAATCGATAGCGCAATTTTGTGTTATTTTGCGCCTTCGTCCCTCCTCAAACAAGCCTCGAACAACGCTCAACACACCATCTCAACTCGACCTATTCTCCGACCACGAACAAGCTTCTACAAGCTATCTTGGCGAGAGTCGAGCTAGGCACACCTCACTCACGCATCCCGGGCGTCAACTATCACGAACTTCCTATATCGGACTAGCAGCACCGCACCAACCCTTGCCAAGTGCACGCCAACTGATAAGCAACGACAAGCTTCTGATGCAGTTAATATATCCTGCATGCCTACGCGACAAGTGCCATCCGTCTATGCGCCGGGCGTGTCCGTACTAGCGATTGCGAAATCCGATGTGGTTGAAGACCGAGGTTTGGTATGGAATGAGTTTACATCGTGGACAGAGAGCGGTGCGAAAACCTTGAGGTTGCGATTTCTACTATGTGGTAAGAACCTGTAGCATTTCCGAAGATTTTACGAGTTCATCGCGCAGCATACGAACGTCCCCGTCACACTTCTGTTTCCCGCAATGGTGGTTTCAACAGAGTGTTCGGATAGCTTCCCAGAAAGGCAGGAGGACCTGTAGATGCAAGCACTACGACCGCATAGTCGGACACTGTCTCGTGCAGTTGATGAACATCTGAGTGATTTGATAGGTGGACCTCGACCCATACACAAGAAGGTTCGCTCACAGAGGTCTTCTGATATCGACTGGTCCAATACACATGCAGAATGTTCTACCATACCCTTGTACCGTCCGGAAATACACCGATCTCAAAATTCGAAAGCGCTCTAATGGATAAGTCAAGCTACCAATTAGTGATCTCTATCTCGGCATTTGACCTGATTGATCTTGTAGGCCGCTTTCCAATCCACCAAGAAGGGCGCATCTAGCTGGATAGCTTTGCACCTGACCAGTGGATATCAGGAAGGTATCATCAGGTAATGAGTCTGGACTATCGCGCCATCGTATACCGAAACGGGGCGAATATATACAACATGGTGTTCGGACTTGAGCCTGAAAAATATATAAGGAGCGTCAAACGCCGCTGTTAGACTTATCAACGCAGCAAGTTCCAATAGTCCATCGCTTCCTAAACATCCTCGCTCTCTTCGCCTCTCGTTCTCGAGTCTCAAGTTCACTCATCCTTCAACATGAAGCTTTCTATCGCTGTCCTCGCCGCCATCACAGGCGCAGTCCTGGCCCGTCCCTCAAACCTCGCCGAGCGCGTAAAGTCTCGCGCCGATGGCACTCGTCGTCACAGGACCCAGCCCATGATCTTGGTCGGCACCGCCGCGAAAGAGAACTCCAAGTTCGTCGCTGATGTAGACAACACCACTGCCCACGTTGACTATTCATCCAACTGGTCTGGCGCCGTTCTCGAACAGCCCTCCTCCGGCTACTTCAAGTCAGCCACCGGACGCTTTACAGTACCAACACCCAAGCACGTTGGCTCTGGTGGAACCGAGTCCGCGTCAGCTTGGGTTGGAATCGACGGCGATTCATGTGCCAGCGGTCTGCTCCAGGCCGGTATCGACTTCACCGTCAGCAGCTCCGGCGCTGTGTCCTACGATGCTTGGTACGAGTGGTACCCTGACTACGCCTACGACTTCAGCAACTTCGCCGTCAAGGCGGGAAACGTTATTCAAGTCGACATCACCGCCACCTCCACCACCAAGGGTACGGTCAAGCTCACTAATGTGAGCACTGGAAAGAGTGTCAGCCAGACACTTAGCGCACCAAGCGGCTCCGTTTTGTGCCGTCAGAACGCTGAGTGGATTGTAGAGGACTTTGAGTCTGGAGGCAGCTTGGTCGCATTGAGCAACTTTGGCACTGTTGTTTTCACCCAGGCTAGTGCTGCTCTTAGCACTGGTGGATCGGACGGACTGAGCAGCGCTACCATCATCGATCTCAAGCAGGGTAGCACTGTCTACACTGACGTTACCATCAACAGTGGATCCCAAGTCACTGTCCAGTATATCTAAGCGATGAATGGTAAAGGAGGAGATGAGGTCTTTCGAGGTCGGGATGAGTTTAGGATGTTGTATGGACTATGATTGCGGGTGAAACATAGTATTTCAGCATATTTCTGACATTCATATGAATTCATTCATACTAGTCCCAGCGCTGTATAACCTGACATGTAGACAACCTGAATACATCCAGCGAGTCCTCGTTTACCAAAGCACGTTGCTTCCTGTTCATGACTTTTCCTAGAGTGTATCTTGAGTACCTTTTCACTTCTTTTCTCCGGTACCCTGCTGGCTGCCAGCGTTGGCGTTGCAATCGCCAGCACCCTGAGCACGTGCAGCGAAGCCACCCGAAGACACATCGCCGCCGCTTTTGGCCTGCGCGAAGCGAGAACGAGCATCGGAAACTGTAAACGCCTTGACTTGACAGAGCGAAATGACCTGGTTGAGTAGAGTGTATTCTAACAACGTCTGACTTGCCCATTGGGGTGGGGGTCTTGTCGCTACCACCAGTCTCGGACTTCTCGTCAGAAGAAGACATGATGTTAGCGTGACGAGTATATTATATAATTGTCCTGATGAGGTTTCGCCATGAAGCTGTGGTATCGAAGAAAGATTGCGAAGCTTTCTTTCCTTTGGAGAGAAAATACCTTTTTATATCGCTCTTTGAAGCCATTGTTCTGGTAGTTGGCATCTTTCAGCGGGACTAATCATGACTCGAAGGACTATGCATAACATAGTACAGCACTGACACCATGCCTTGCAGATTGGAACGTTAGTGTAGGTACAGGGGATGACCTATACCCCTATTCATGACGAAGATAGTCCCGCATGTCTAGAAGGGGATTGGAAATGGGTGTGGATTGGGGAATGTATGAAACATCTGCTGACGAGCTCTCACGAGGGTTCAGCTTAGCCGTTTCAATCGATCCGACGCAAGCCCAGCTTCTTACTATTCCTCTCCGGTCGGACAAAGACACTTCTCGCTCGGCAAGTGTCAAAATATGTTAACACATGGCTCCCAAAACCCGTAATGGTTCCCGATGCATACACATGGCGTAGTAGATCGAATTGGCGACGAAGATCAACATAAATGCAACAAAGTGTTGTGTTTCGCCTTCCAAATCTGGCATCTTTAGCATTCCTTCCGTTTGGCGCTTACATACCAAGCGACTTACGGAGCACTCTGCCGACAAGGTAGCAGTATGCTGCGTATCACAATGACAGGTATGATGCGCATGGTTGTGTTTATGTCATGCGCATTATCTGTAGCCCTTGGTATTCTTGTGGCTTAAGACCGATATCCGAAGTATCGACTTGTACTCAGTTAATATACATCGTCTTCGGACAGAGCCGGCGGCGCAGCTTCGTATGATAGACGAGAACTTGAATGCCCGTCGGAAATCCCAAATCGACTTGACTTGAGACGATCGAAAATGTCGCCAACATGTACTCAGATTATCTGTTCCGTGAACGGAAGAGAAAATTCTCAACATCTGTTGTATACATCGCAATAACACTTCTCGTATGTGGGACAGCTTGTGCAGATTAGCAGCCACGCAACCCAATTTTGTTTCGTCGAATGCTTACTAAACAGGTTCTTGACCAAACATAATGTGCCAGAGATATTCAAAAACACGTCCGCTTGTTTCATCCTTCAGTGGACTTTCCATCAACCACGTGTAATATTTTCTGTATGTGTCCAATGGTCGCTTCTGCACTTGCCTGCTCGATACGGCAAATTGCGCACAGCAAGGGGTCGCCAGCACGTGCGGTACATCGGTGTTGTTGAACAAGTCTCGCCACGCATCTGGCATCGCTGCTTCGATTGTTCGATGCTCCTCAGGCGGATCACGGAACGGCATCACTTCGTGCGGACAGCCAGGATCGTTGACGCAACGCAAATTCGCGTATCCGTTGCTCTGAATGAAGTCGATGTTGAGAGTTTGCAGAGAGATCACATTGGAATGCTCGTTATTGTCGGTGTGCCAAGCGATGGGGTAGCCGTCTTTGTGCGGATGGATGAACGCTATCGTTGAAGGGAGATTGTCGTAATTCTGTACGATGTATGCGAGGTATGCATTTGCTTCCATGCCCTTGTTCCGAAGGGTACGTAGAGTGCTGTTAGTGAGCGGATCCAGGGTGGATATGTTGTGCGGAGTCTCCGTGTCAATGTCGTAGATAGCTGATTGCCAGTCTCCCAGGTCGGTATGCACCCACCGTGTGTCGTCGGTGGGAAGCTTAGCCATCACTACGACGCGATCAGGTAGCGATGTGCTAGGTGTCACGACCGCAGTGCTTTTCGTCAGTGTGCTTGTGTGGTGAGAGGTGGTGGAGGTCGACAATGTTTCCTCTTTCGTGCCTCCCTGCGTGATTCCTTGCCCAAGTATATTTCGCTCTCCTTCTACTTCTGCTGTCTCAAGTCGCTCCGGCTTCTCCACACCGCCAGCCTCAACAAACTCTTTTTGAACACGATTCAAACAGGCGTCAAACAGAAACCATGTGCAGAGCACGAACACTGCTACCACCATGAATTCAACTCTCCTGCGGGAATGCAACATTGCTTGATGATAAGTGAGTGAGTTCCTTGAAAAATGCTCGAATTGGACATGTGATAATCCGTCTCGGACGTGCGTTCGCAGATGATATCGTGATGGCTCAATATTTGCTTCACACACACGTGCGGGGGTGAAATAACTGCCTAGAGGTGACGCGGGTCACCAGGAGGTGAAGAGTGACTGGGTTGCGTGATCTTAAAACACATTCTCAAGAGAGACGCGGAAGGCAGCTATTGCAACAAAAGGGGAAGCGTTGGTCGAAGCTAGCAGCCTGGCGACGTAGCATTGCGGCACAGCTCAGGTGTTGTGGAAACACGCACAAGGGAGTTGATGGGGTTAGCACTTGTTCCAGCACTCATCTCAGAGGTAGAGAGCAGCTACATTTTGAAGTTAAGCAATGCGCGGCCCGTTTGAATCCATTAAGTTGCAGAAAGTTCCGCGTCGGCGCTAAGCGGCGCTAAGCAGCGTTGGTCGATTGGTAACTTGACGTAGCTGGCGCTAACCTTCGGTGATTGCGATAGAGCATGGCATAGGCTAATGAGAGTACAACACCGAATTTGAATAGCATGATAAGCTACCCGTTGAAGGATTATGGCTCGTAACCGCTGACCTACCTTCAGTTTTTCTCCCCGGGGTTAACAATTCCTACTTAAGTACTTCTTCAGTCCCCCTTTACGTGGTAACCTTTAACATAGAGTATTGCAATAGGCCCGCCAATGGGCCTGTTGTCGCCTTCTCTAGGAGACACACATTTCGTAAACTGTGCAAAAAGCCAGTGCCAGCCACAGCCAGTCGTCGCGCCTAATGAGAATGCATCTCTGTCCAACAGAATCGGTTCTCCTGTCAGAGTTGGGGTCTGCTGTAGTGCTGTTTTGGGTACGCTGTGGTGTGCATTCCCGCTCAGGTGTTTTCGGGAACCCTAGATAGCTGTACCGAACGAGCGGTAACCGGACTCTTAGGACAGGTGGCAAATTCGACCATTCTAGAGCCGGTTCAGAGGATTGAGATCCAGAACTTGCTAGGCATATAGCGAGCCTGAGACGTGAACGAACTAAACCATGCGCAGATGAGGCATTTCGTATGAGACTCCAACAGCGTAATCCTGCACCTAAAGCAACAGACATGTAGCGGCAAGAAGAGGAAGGAGGCTGCAATAAATACAATCCAATAGCACTTCATAGTCTGACCGGTATGATTCCGGAAAATCAGCCGCGCAACCCCGAGCCTCGAGTTGCCTAACCAATCCAACATGTGCGGCAAGCCCTCCCGATCACCTTCCTTTTCGGGATAGAGATCTTCCAGAAGCCACCCACCACGTCTGTTGCATTGTACCTAATAGCTTTAGCAGTTCGTCTCGGGTCGCAAAGTAGAGGTGGGCTGTCGTCACAAGGCGAATCCCGATCTTACGTGAGCCTCCACACACGCACCACGAAGCGAAGATGGGTGTTTGGTAGACTAGACGTAACCTGCTCCATCTGATATGTGAGGTTTTTGCGTCAGGCAACCGTCTAAACATACAATATCCATCATGTCCTCTCTCAAACAGCGCCCCGCCGACCCTGCGACAAGTGCACTCCACGTGCGAGTCTGGAGCGACCCCGCACACAAGCTTTGTGCAAGCTTTCTTCGATGCGTCGAAGCGTTCGCTAGCGACTTCTTATCAGAAACAAGTGGCCCGAATGTCAGCTAGCGTGCCTGTAGCGTACGTTAGCGCTTAATGTGGCTGAGCGGTTCATTGATAACGTGTTGGGGTTTGAGCGATATTTGGGCGTTACGCGATTGCGCAAGTAGATACGCCGCAGGCTAAGATAGGCACAGAAGGTCCGACATTGGTGCTCTTCCAGACCTGCTGATATTCGTTCCCCTGACTCTACCCTGGGATCCCAGCAGGTGGTCCGCCACGCGAACGCGCTTGAAGCCAAAGTATGGTGTGCAGTAAAGAGACGCCAGAAGCACTGTTTCATTCCTGCTTGGAAGCGACAACGCCATACAGGCCACCCAAGGCATTGGAACATAACTTCACAACCACTCACGGAGGCCCCGGATCCGTCAGTCTACCATTGTGTTGCATGACAACATGGGGCGCAACCCTAGACTTACGAGGGTGCATGTACTATACCAATTAAGTGCTGAACGCCGTGCGAGAGGGCCTGACATAGTGATTTGTGGGCGAAGATAGGCTCAGTCCCTGTGCGCGAATGCAGCCACCAAATGCCCGCCACTGATTGTCTAGCCGCGAGCTCTCTTCTCGAGTATATTACCGCGTCTCGCGCACACCTCGCATCTTTCACTTGTGCCCTACATCTTGGCCTCCTTTCTTTGATCGCCGCTCGACGTTCCAATCGTCTGCGATTTTTGACGTATTCACTCCGTCTGAGTGTCACAAGGTCCTCGCCGGTTCTTATCACGTTTTCGCCACCATGAGTCTCGCGCACGAGACGGAAAAGAATCACTATGGCGATCCGCCTCCAGCGCATTACTCCCTGGGGGATCACACCAAAGGACATCAGCTCAGTGCCAATGACGAGGATGTCGCTATTGTCATTTCTGATCAAAATGAGCTCAGGAAGGACTTGAAGGGTCGTCATATGCAAATGATTGCCATGTCAGTCTCTCCGAATACTCCTTGACGGAGTAACTATGCTTTAACGCGACTAACATGCTTTGCAGTGGTGGTGCCATTGGCTCCGGTCTATTCATTGGTTCCGCCTCATCCTTCGTCACTGGTGGACCAGCCTCTGTTATCATCGGATTTACCCTCATCGGCATTATGATGTACTTGATGATGCAGGCATTGGCTGAACTCGCAGTCATGTATCCAATCAACGGAGCCTTCACCATGTACATCTGTCGATTCATCGATCCATCCTGGGGCTTTGCCTGTGGATGGCAGTACGCTATCAGCTGGCTCACTGTCCTGCCTTTTGAAATCTCCGCTGCTTGCAACATCATCCACTACTGGTCAGGATCGCAGGGAATCAACAACGCTGCGTGGATCACACCACTTCTCGTGGCTTTGATCGCCATTCAATTTTTCGGCGTCAAGGGTTATGGCGAGGTGAGTGCGCTGCTCTGCAGCCTCCTCCATTATGAGACAACCAGAATAACATTTCTGAACAGGTCGAATTCGTACTATCCATCATAAAGGTTGCAGCTTGTGTAGGATTCATGATTCTGGGCATTATTATTGATACCGGAGGTGTGCCAACCGACGACAGAGGTTATATTGGCAACAAGTACTAGTACGTCCTCCATAGTCGGATCGCAGAGTTGTCTACTGACCATTTCTAGCAACATTCCTGATGTGACCTCCGCAGGATTCCGTAACGGTTTTCACGGATTCTGCGGTGTTTTCGTTAATGCAGCCTTCGCATACACTGGCACCGAGCTTACTGGCTTAGCAGCAGCTGAGACGGATAACCCAAGGAAGGAGATTCCCAAGGCCGCGAAGCAAGTCATCTATCGAATCATCCTCTTCTACGTTGTTAACCTTGCTCTGGTCGGCCTGGTTGTGCCGGTCAACAACGAGGCACTGAACGGTAGCGCTGGCGCCAGTTCGCTTCATTCACCTTTCGTGATCGCTATCCAGCTCGCCGGAATTAAGGTTCTTCCATCCATCTTCAATGCCGTCATTCTCATTGCAGTCATGAGCGTTGCCAATGCTTGTACCTTTGGCTCCACACGCACAATGCAGGCTCTTGCGGCGAACGGTGAGTGTCCTGCATCATACCATACTAGTTCCTCACTGATCATAATCGTTATCTAGGTATGGGTCCGAAAGCCACCGCCTACATTGACAAGAAGGGCCGTCCAGTTGTTGTGGTAGCTATTCAGCTTCTGTTCGGACTGTTGGCATACATCAATCTCGCCCCCAACGGTGGAGATATTTTCACCTGGTTGCTATCCTTATCTGGCATCACAGTGCTTTTTGTCTTCGGCAGCATTGCTATTGCACATATCCGTTTCCGCAGAGCTTGGTGAGTTCCATGCAGCAGTATGCAAAGTCTCTATAGACACTAATGTTCCTTTAGGGCCTACAAAGGGCACACCCTGGATGAGATTCCATACAGAGCCTCGTTCGGTGTTTGGGGCTCTTGGGTATGCTTCTTCATTTGTGCCATTGCGCTCATCGCCCAATTCTACGTTGCGCTCTGGCCAGTCGGTGGTGAGGCTCTCAGCGCAGAGGGCTTTTTCGAACTCTACATGGCGGCACCTTTTCTCGTTTTCTTGTACTCGATTTGGAAGGTGTACAGCTGGTTCAAGTTTCCTTCACACCGCCCATTGTGGATCAGAACTAAGGACATTGACATCTATACTGGTATGAGGCAGGGACAGAGAGAGATGATCAGTGGTGAAGGTGTATCCGAAGAGCGGAGGCGCGCGAGCATTCAGGAGATGAATGACGAGCAGAAGAAGAAGGGTGTCAAGGCCCGCGTTATGGCGGCTGTTCGTACAGTATTTTAGTGGTGGATTTGCCTTGCTGGTAAGCGCGTCCACAGAAATGAAAAGTTCTCAAGGGTGCAAGAGTATGGCAGATTCTGAACTCAAACAATCGTAGACATTGAAACGCGATCTATCTCTCCAACCACCAAATCCAATGAACTCCCCAGGCTGACGCCCCATGAAAATAAGAAGAATGGTCGAGAACGCAACGCGAAGGCGAACACGTGCATGCAGATACTGATACTTATCGCATACTCATACGAAGCGCATAAGGTCTTCTGCTAATTCGAGGGGCGCGTTTGGCCTTCTATAAACAGCTGTAGAAGGATTTCCATTCCTCGGAAAGTCCGTCTGAATGAATCTATCGTGTCGGTTTGGTTGACATGCCTCTCTACGAGAGAAGCTGCCTACACCTATGAGCTGATCACTCTGTGCTCTATTTTACTAGTAATTAGTTTTGAACCTTGATAGCCCGCTTTAACGAAGAAAGCTGGCTCCTAATGGTCATGTGCGTGGTCATTCCTTTAACTTGACCTTGGCCCTGTCAAACGAGCAATGTAAGGTAAAGCCTGATGTGGCTGATTGAAGGTGCTTCAGGCAATGTTAGCTCTTCTGGACACCGGCTGCCCAGCGCGTGTCTAGGAACCTATAGGAAACTATTGAGGTGTCAGACGATGTTCGTAGTACTCTTCGCAAGTGTAACATACTCGCATTACTGTCCAATAGACATGCGATAGGCTTACAAGGCTAAACGAGATCATTGTAGCCTCTGCATCGTTGTGGGTGGGCGGGTTGAAATGATGTATCGTTCGACTGCGCAACCGCCAGTAGGTCAGTGATATCCACTATAAACTTTATTCTTTGCACCTCATTACAACAGAATAGCGAAAGAGATGCGAATGCCCGGTTGCGCAGATGTTCTTGTTATACTCTAGTAACCGGGAAACAGGATCGCGCATGATGGCGCATCGGCTGCGCCATGGCCCTGGCAGGGGTGGAGTCGGGCGTCTATCAAGTACTGTCGGGGGCCGACACGTGGAGCCGTTAGTACAGAAGTCTGTACGTGCTAACTACCCCATTCGCCTAACCCTGGGTGCTACAAACTGGAGAAATATGGGGTTTTACGTCGACGGGACAAGAGACGGTTGGTTCTCTTGTCTCAGCTGTTACCTGTCGCTGCACCGTAAATGGATCATTTACAAGCTCCCGAGGTCGTGTTTCGGCATCTGGTGTTCGACGAATGACCTCGGCCCCAACCACTGTGCCACACGCGACCATTAACCAAGATTATGCAAATCTCGGAACTGTCCAGGTCATCTATTATTATGATTTGCCCTGCCTTTCCCTCAATCTCACACGCGCGCTTCGCTCTGCTCGCCTTACCCAAGTGACCACAATACTATGGCGCAGGTGTTGGAAACTGTGTCCTACTCCTTGCTTACTTTGTCCCTTTTCGGGCCTTTTTTTTTTTTTTTTTTTTTTTTTTTTTGAATACAGTCTTCTGTGCTGAGAACGAACATACCGCCTGGAAAGAGGGAAATCATAATCTTCCGAGCCTACGCGAGCGTGCGCAAGAACAGAGCGCTCCGCGATCGCTTTCTACTCATGAAACCGAACTGTGGATGATGGTAGGAACTTTTAGACTATTTCGACATGCTGGAAAGCTATGGAAAAAGTGAGTTCCACCTATCGACTGCCGCGTTAGCAAAGCCGGTCACGCCAGTGCGCGTTGCAGAAGACCTGGTTCGCAATCACAACGCGGCAGAAACAATAGTCTGACAGCCAAGTATCGATAGCTGTATATATCAATTAAGATCACTACGCCTCACTACCAAGAAATATCGCCTTGACAGCTGTTATACGCAGATGTATAGCCTCAATTTGATCGTTGTGTTGGTGTTCGGAGTGGGCATCCCGCCATCCCGGTACCACGCCGCAACCTCGGTACGGGCTAGCGTAAGCTTCGACCTGACAAGCTGCCATCTCACCAATCTTGTCCGCGCTTGACTACAATGGCTTAACACACCCTCATGGGAGGTCCGATACACTCCACAACACAAGTCCACATTCGCGCCAGGATAAACAGTCCATGGATGGCTTGATCTTTGACGCCAAGGGAGACTTTTGCCGAGCTCGGGAGTTTCGCATCAGTCAACACTACTTCCTTCGTCGCCACGATAACACGCTTCACTACTCCAAACTCATCTGTGGTGTGGTCCAGAACACCTTCGCCTGTTGATCATGACCCTTTCACAGGAACAGCTTCTCGACCCGCATCGAGTGATCATGCATCTCTCATGCGCTCTTGAGTCGGGTAAGCTCCTACGTCCTGCCTTGGCATCGCTCGACCGGGGCGGGATTCCGGGGTCATGTCCGGTTCAATACTTCTAGAAGGGTTGGTGGCTGAGCCGCACGCCGTATCCAACCAATCAGACGAGTAGCCTTCGATCAGACCTGGCAAGACATTTAGCCTAATAGTGGTAATATCTACCCCGACCTTTGTGATCTCCTCTTGTGCGGCCCGCAATATGGACTCGCATGGATATACAGCCTAGCATATAAGAACTCCCCTGCCCAGATGAGCTCCAATTCTTCCCCAGTATTCACTCCACCTCCGCCTTGCAATCGTCGTTGGCCGCTGGAACAGCTGGTCAATACTATCCGCAATGAGTCCCCATTTCAAGCGTCCCAACCAGGCCAATGTGGTCGAGGCACAGGAAGCTGCGCCTGAGCTTCCACCAGTGTCATGGAGCAAGTCACCCAACATGCGCAAGCTTTACTTCTACTGCATGATTCTTTGCGTCTGTTCGGCCACCACCGGTTACGATGGGTGAGTTCTGGGTCCTGCAAACAGAGAAAGTCCAGTAACTAACTGTGCGAAGATCTCTCATGAACACTTCTCAGCTTCTTGACTCCTGGAAGACCACGATGGACAACCCTTCAGAGGACACTTTGGGTCGTCTCAGCGCCATGTACTCGATCGGTTCCATCGTTTCCCTCCCCGTGGTACCTTTCCTCAGCGACAGATATGGGCGCAAAACCCCCATTACTATTGGTTGCATCATTATGGTTATTGCCGCCGCCATTCAGGCTGCCTCTATGAGCCGCCCGCAATATGAGGGAGGCCGTTTCTTCATGGGTTTCGGCAACTCCATGGCTCAACTCTCTTGCCCTATGCTTATCACTGAAATTGCGCATCCTCAGCACCGTGCCAGGATTACCACCGTGTACAACTGCTTGTGGAATCTTGGTGCCCTGATCTGTGGTTGGTTGGCTTTCGGTACACAGCACATCCCCAACACCTGGTCCTGGAGAATCCCGACTCTCATCCAAGGCATCTTCTCTATCATCCAGCTCGTGTTCATCTGGTGGATTCCTGAGTAAGCTTCTTCCATATTACAAACTGTCTTTCGCAATTGGCTAACTTTGATTTCCAGGTCCCCGCGTTGGCTGTTGTCCAAGGACAGGAACGACGAGGCGCTCCGCATGCTCTCTCACTACCACGCCGACGGCAACGACAGCGACTCCACTGTCATGTTCGAGTATGCTGAAATGAAGGAGACTATCCGCATCGAGTTCTTGCACAAGAAGAACTCGTCATACATGGACTTTATTAAGACTGCAGGCAACCGCAAGCGGCTCTTGATGATCATCTCCCTCGGTCTCTTCTCTCAGTGGTCTGGCAATGCCCTTGTTAGCTACTACGCTGGTATTATCTACGAAGGTGCCGGTATCACTCGCCAGACCGACAAATTGGGTTTGGACGCTGGAAACAAGGTTCTCTCCTTGTTCGTCTCCATCTCATGCGCTTTGTTGGTCGACCGTGTTGGTAGACGCCCGCTTTTCCTCGCTGCGTAAGTTTGCACATCCGCTTCATTCGACACATTAACTAATTTACAATAGCACCGGTGGTATGCTCTTGTTCTTGATTTGCGCTACCATCACTGGTGAGCAATATGCCGAGAAGGGTACCCTTGCAATTGGCTATGTCAACATTGTCTTCGTCTGGCTGCATGGTGTCGCTTACTCCCTGGCTTGGTCTGGTCTCCTGGTTGCCTACACCGTCGAGATTCTGCCCTACAAGCTCCGTGCCAAGGGTGTGTTCATCATGAACATTTCCGTTCAAGTCGCCCTCACGATCAACAACTACGTGAACCCTATTCCCATCTCCGAGGGTGGCGGCTGGTACAAACAGAACTGGAAGCTGTTCGCCTGCTATGCTGGCTGGGTTTTCCTCGAGTTGATCTGGGTCTACTACTTCTACGTCGAGACTCGGTACGTCACTTTTTGTCCTCGCCTATATGAATTAAGGCTAACCTTCCTTGCAGTGGCCCTACTCTCGAGGAGATCGCTCGTATCTTCGATGGCGATAACGCAGAGGTTGCTGACATTGATATCGATGGCAAGGGTATCAGCAACCGCAATGACAGCATCAAGGAGGCTCATGTGCAAATCGAGAAGGCATAGGCGACTCCGCCACTATTTGTCAGCCACGTCGTTTTAGGCTATATAGCAATGTAGCATGTGTGCGATTTAGTGTTAGAGCCTATGGCGTTAGCCAGAGAAACAAGAACTTATTAGCATCGAACCAGATACCCATTACCAAACCATCGTTGCAGTAGAGTGTGAATGCTACTTCCTCTTCGACTTGATAACTCGGCGTGAGCAAGGAACTACATCCGCATATCCAGGCAAGATTATGGCCCATGGCGAGGTACCATACCTAATTACATCAAACCCACTTAGTATCCGGGAACAGGACGAAGTTCATGGAGAGAAGTTGCCCGAGATACAACGCCGAAGCGAAGTAAGAGGTCAGAGACGAAAGTCTTGCTAGGAATCCTGGTGTGAAGATCTCAAGGGGAGACCGAAGGTTGCCCATTACTTGCAGTATCGGATCTGTCGTATGGTTAGAGATAAGATGTTGGCACGCCAAGTTTTCGGAGATCCTCGGACAAGCGTCTGTAGCAAGACCCTTGTGTCTGTTCTCCCATGTATGCAGATTGTGGATGAGTCTGTGCGTCCATATTAGTGTAGCCTCTAGTGATCGTGTATCTGTAGGTTATCATGCCACCTATTAGTAGAAATGGTACATACGACCATAGGACACTGAAAATTAGGCTTCCCGTCCGCTCAGCCATATACAAGCAGTGTACCGGCGGATTAGTAGTTAGGTGGGTGACCACTAGCGAATCCCCGCTGTTGTATGTTTTTTACTTTTTTCCCTCTCTTTTCGTTTTGCTCTAGCACGAACAAGTAAAGAAGAAGGTAGTAACAACAAGGCTTATGCTCTATGGGCAACTCTGTGACAAATACGCAAGGGCATGCGTTGGAGAAGACCTCGAATCAGATGAAACTCATAGCTTTGGTAACGATTCTCAATCAACCGGTTGTGTAAGCACATCAGCAAGTCTGAATTGCGCTGCATCGACCGTTTGCCATCTCGTGACGGCAGTGCCGAGGTGGACAGGGGGGTCGGTCGTTTTCGGTCGCGTATCGCCTATCTACGCGTCTTGGAGACTTCAACGGCTCGTTCGGACCTATTTTGTCAAACTCTGAAAGAAGAAAGGAAGGTTCATCGGTTCCCGACAAAACGACGGGCATTTGTGTGTCTGATGCCGCGTAAGGATGATATTAGCCTCCAATCGACTGGACAGCAGCGCCCAACTACCCCAGGGTCATTTGCGGAAGTCTGTAACGGATTGAAATGAAATGCTGTGTGCGATTGCACCAGGCCTGTACAAAAGCCGTAAATCGAAGTGTCTGGAGCATGTTGTTTTGGAGCCGAAGTAAGTCAGGTGTCTGATACCCCACCGAGGAAATGGTTCGAACATGTGGCTGTGCAAGAAAAAAGCAGGGTCTGGAGCTGCGCCACGTCAACCCGCATGTGTAAACAAGGGGTGCCAGCTGAAAGCAACAAAACTCAAATTTTCTCCTGTTCATCTTGCGCGTCACATGCCGTTGGCGTGAGCGGTCAGGGATAGGCTGCATACGCAATTTAGATCGTAGACGTAGTGAGACGGGATGTGGCTGCAATCTAGATCGTCGGTTCTCACAGGGGTGGGAGGCTGTCAATCCTTCCCGCTGTGTGTGAGGGGCGGCGGCTGCGTGTCAATCAAGTCAATCAATAGTGGCCATCGCTGCGGGATGAAGATGTCGTGGGCGTGATGTCCTATGTCTGGCTGTAAGTTGATAGGGTGCGCGCAGAGTGCGGTGTGATAGCATCGTCATGGTTGCGGTTCGCTAACCCACAACAACGCATAGTGTGCTCTGTGCCGTGTACGTTCGCGTGTATCACGATCTTGTCGGTCGCTCTTAGTCGAGCCTTGCTTTATTGTAACACGGAGAAGGGGTAGCCGGCAGAAAGCACTCCAATATTGACGTAATGTGCATACCGCTGCCAGGGCGATCGCCAGCGAGGCTGGGAATTGGCTGGGAGCTTGGCAATTGTCTCTCAACTGGATTCGCGCCGCATCTCGCGAATCACAAGGTTGCTTTTGCGCCAACTCGGTAATTTCCTTGTGCCCTTGTCGCGCATCTTCACATGGGAACGCGTTTCGTATGCTGACCGATAAGAGTAGCAGTTGTATAGCCTCATCGACGGCAACGCCGAGATGCATTCAACGCCGCACACTAGCAAGCCCGCGGCAATTGAGGCTGGTGATGCAGGTCGACGACTGCGTCCAGGGTCCAGAAGCTCGATGCGCGCACGCAGAGCTGAGGTTGCTAGCGCACTGACGAGTCGCGCGGTAGGGCCGATTTGTGGAGTGTGCTTGGACCATACGTCACACTAGAGGCTTGTGGGCTCCTTGTATAGCGCCCGCAGTCCTGTTTATTTGTATCTAGTTCCAGGGAGCCTCCTAATTTCCTATCGAAGCATCTTCCCTTCGCAAACCCTACACTCTCACCTCACGGGCGCGCAACTGCCTAGCTGCCCATCATGTCGAGTTCCGTAAGTTGAAATTCGCTGCGACAACCAAACGCAAGCCTGCGCTGACCATAACACAGGGTGGAGACATTGGCAGTGCCAAAGAGGGCTCCTCCAATTCCCTCTCCAGTTTGGTATCCACCCTGGTACCGACTGCCATTCTCGCCTTCGCCTTCGTGGCCGCCTTCTTCATCGCGCGCAAGTACTTCCGCCGCGTCTATGCGCCCAGGACCTACCTCAACCATCTGGGCCAGCAGCGACAGACCCCCGCGCCGAGCCCAGGCTTCTTTGGATGGATAAAGGACTTTAAGAACCTCAAGGACGAGTACATCCTGGACCACCAGTCCATTGACGGCTACCTGTTTGTGCGCTTCTTCAAGGTTCTCATCATCACCTGCTTCCTAGGATGTCTCGTTACATGGCCTGTCTTGTTCCCCGTCAATGCCACTGGAGGCGCAGGCCAAGAACAGCTCGACCTGCTCTCCATGAGCAATGTCGACCCCGCAGGCACCAACGTCAACCGCTACTATGCGCACGCCGGAATCTCCTTCATCTTTCTTTCAATGGTCATGGCCATCATTGCCCGCGAGTCTTTCTATGTTGTCAACCTCCGCCAAGCATACCGCCGTTCACCATGGGGAGCCAGCCGCTTGTCCTCGCGTACCATTCTGTTCACAAATGTCCCTACCACCATGTCCCAGTCGGCTCTCTTCGAAATGTTCCCTGGCGTCAAGCACGCCTGGGTTGCGTCCAACACCAAGGAGTTGGATGACTTGGTCGAGGACCGCGACAAGACTGCCATGAAGCTGGAGGAGGGCGAGATCCAGTTGTCCCGCGATGCCAACACAAACCGAATGAAGGCCGAGAAGGGCAAAAAGCACTTCGTTGCGAGCGACGTATCTGACGGCACCAAGTGGATTGACCCCAAGAAGCGACCAACACACAAGCTGAAGTTCTTGATTGGCAAGAAGGTTGACACCATTGAGTACGGGCGTTCGCACCTGGCTGAGCTCCTTCCCAAGATTCAACAAGAGCAGGACAAGCACTGGAATGGCCAAGGCGACTTAGTTGGAGCCGTCTTCCTTGAGTTCGACACCCAAAAGCACGCGCAAGATGCTTGGCAGATGATGCAGAGCAGCAAGACTAGGCCTGACAAGAAGCTCAAGGCGCGCCAGCTTGGTGTCATGCCTCAAGAAGTTGCCTGGGGTAATCTGCGCATCAAGCCCATGGAGCACCTCGTTCGTTGGGCACTAGCTACTGGCTTCATCTCCGTCATGATCATCTTCTTCGCGGTTCCTGGTAAGACCCATAAAACATATCCTACAGCATCCCACTAACGTATGCAGTTGCCTTTGTCGGTCTGATCTCCAACATCAACTACCTCGCTGATCGTTTCACCTGGCTCGAATGGATCCTGGACATTCCCAAGGTGATTCTCGGTGTAGTCACTGGTCTCCTTCCCGCTGTCATGCTTGCCGTTCTCATGGCTCTTGTGCCTATCGTTTGTCGTCTGATGGCCAAGTTGGCCGGATACGTTACATACAGTCAGATCGAGCTCAAGTGCCAGAGCTGGTACTTTGCCTTCCAGGTTGTGCAAGTCTTCCTTGTAGCAACTCTCTCTAGTGCCATCACGTCCGTCATCAACCAGGTCCTCGACAACCCGAGCATTGTACTCAACCTTCTCGCCACCAACCTGCCCAAGGCCTCCAACTTCTACATTAGCTACTTCATCCTGTTGGGTCTCTCGTCGGCTGCCGGAACTCTGCTGAACATCGGTGGCTTTGTCGTAGTAGTACTCCTCGGCCGCATCCTCCCCGGCAAGACACCTCGCAAGATCTTCGAAAAGCTTACCAAGCTCTCTGCTCCTTCGTGGGGATCCGAGTACCCCAAGTGGGTCAACTTAGCTGTCATTGGTATCACCTACTCTGGCATCGCACCTCTTATCCTCGGTTTCGCCACGGTCGGTTTCACCCTCATCTACATTGCTTTCAGGTACAACTTCCTCTACGTCTATGAGACCAACCTGGACACCAAGGGTGAGGCCTACCAGAAGGCACTTCGCCAGCTACTTACAGGTGTCTACCTCTCTGAGATCTGCCTCATTGGTCTCTTCGCCATTGCTACCGCCGACAACATCCAGGCTGTTGGTCCTCTGGCCATCATGTGTGTCCTTCTCTTCCTCACCATCGTCTTCCAGTTCACTCTGAAGTTCGCCCTGAAGCATGAAGAAGCACGCCTTGCCTATACTGATCCATCCCCTGCCCACGGCGGCCTCAAGGGACACATTGAGGATGGCATGCACGCCCAAAATGGCGAGAAGGTCAACACAACCGACGCCACCCCTAGCTACGCGCCCAAGCCTACTCGTATGCCCATGTTCCTGCGTAAGATGTTCAACCCCGAGAAGCACTCGATCCACAATCTCTCAGCCTCGCTCGACCAATTCTACCACCAACCGCAGGAGCCACTGCCAATCGAGATCCAGAAGCGTGCTTTCTTCAACCCATCGGTCACTAGCCCTACGCCTGTTTTGTGGATTGTGAGAGATGACATGGGCATCAGCCAGCGCGAGATCAGAGACACGCAAAAGATTGTTCCCGGACTCATCATGACTGACGAGCAGGCCACCTTTAACGAGAAGGGTAAGGTCAGCTGGGATGGTGTTGAGAACGGTCACTCTCGAGAGGCACCCGTCTTCGACGAGCGTATCGTTTACTAGTCTAATGGAGGATGGTGTTTTAACTAACGATGACGGATTACTGGAGTTCGATACCCCAAAGGGATGAAAGGAACGTTGTGCTTTCCTTGTATTTGCAGAGTTTCCTAGCATGAGCAAATGGGTGACGGCGAAAAAGGCGTGTTTGCTCCAACACTTTTCACTTCAGTAAACGAGTACCCCTACTACTTTAGCTATATATAAATAGTAATGATCACTGAGTTGCGCATTCA